TTTTACATACCAACCACAGTTCCCCTTCCCCACCCACATGCCCCAATCCACCCCCATCTACTCCTCAGGAAGGGTAAAGCCTCCCATGGTAGTCACCAAATCCTGGCACATTCAGTTGAGGTAGGACCAAGTATACATCCTCACCTTCCTGCACCCCTGTATTGAGGCTGAGCATATGGAATGTGCTTCAAAAAGTCAGCTCATGTACTTGGGATAGACATCAGGGACCCCACAAACAGACCAGGCTACTAAAAACACCAAACCATCTCTCCATCCCTAAATTGCAACTTTTAAATCTTAGTCAGATGTAGTTATCTACCCATGAGATGTGTGGTCCTAGTGACTACCCTGCCCTTAAGTGTGGTTTCTATATCCAGTAAAAATGCCTTGGATAAATTAATATTTCCTTTGCCAGTGGTTGTCAACTGGAGCTAACTTTTTGGTTGGGGATGGGAGTTCATGTCTTATGCCCACACTTAAGGGAAGGTTTGATATTACCAACTTAAGTCCTGTTCACATTGATTGTCACATGAAACTTGCTTCTCATCACAGCTTTGACAAATATAACTTCCTTGAAAGTATAAAAGACCTTTCATACTGATGTGAGCTTGCTATGGTGGTCCAGAGAGTCTTAGCATGCAGGGAATTGTGGGCTTAACCACGTCAAGTAAAACAGTTAGTAAAAGAGTATTTTTGTCGGCAATGGGAAGGTGATGTGCATTCCCGGTGTATGGAATATCTCCATATTCTCTCTATTTTCATGTAAATTCAAAATGTCTCAAAGACTGTCTTTAAAAAGAAACATGAAGTCACAAGCTAATCATCTTGCATGAAGATTATCCCAAATCATTTTCAGATTAAGCAAGTTTGACTTTGTCTAATATTATCCACACCATTCCACCAGTCTTTCTCAGGTAGAACTAGCTGTTCTTTAGAGTACAAATAGCCCTACTACAGTGAGAGACGACCCCATGGTAAAAACTTAATACAAATAACTAAAACAGAGATTCACACCTGTATTTTAACCCATGATGTTGGTTGTAGATCAACCTAAGATTGCCTCTGTCTCTTGTCTCCCTGTCTTTTCTTTCTCTTTCCTTTTTTGTTTCATTGTTTGTTCATTTATGCCACCGTCTATATCCAGCACCTATTTTGCACTGGGTACCAAGCAAAGTGCTTGACTATGCATGGAACAGGGCTGACTTGATCTCCATCACATAACATTTAGAGTTACTTGAGTGCTATTTTTGTTCATCCAAGGAATGAATATTCACACATCACACTCCCTAAGTCCAGGCTCTCAGCGACACACAGGTGTCACAAAACTGAGTCATGGGGAAATTGTGCCTGACAGATTCCAGGGGTACATTTTTGATGTCTAATTTAAAATTTGCTCTTTACATCTCCTGGACCTGACATTTTGTTTGTGCTCCCTAGGATTTTTTAGGTTTCCATCTCCCTTGGAACCAAATGCACAGCAGAATTACTTTTCTCCTATTTTCATAAAACTGTTCAGTTAACTCAAGGAAAATATATATGGTTTGGAGCTCAATGTCTCTTAATTTACTTTTCCAAGAAGTTACTGTTGTTTGTTTGAGAACTATTGGCAGTTGCAACACACACAATTTCACATGGCAGCAATATTTTGCAAAGCAATGATATCCTTTAAAGAAAATGGGTTGAGGAGCCTTTTTTGGCAATAATAAAATAAACTATTTTATATGTGCTCTAACTATAATCATTTGATATTTTATAATATTGATATATATTATATATAATATTGATTCATTCATTGGTTGTATATTTACTGAATTGTGCATCAAATAGATAAGTAAATAAGCTAGGTTCTGTAAGCTTGTAGCCTAGTTAGAAAGGAAGAGGAACTCCATACATTCATATAAGTATATGGCCAACTGGAAATACTTTTAGGAATGTTAGTAATTAATTAAATATCAAGCATGTAATTATTTGTCATTACAGGGATATATTTTGATGGCACAAAGACATATTAAAAGATATGTAGCATGAAGAAATATACTGCATGACAATAGCCATAAATCCAATGGAAATATATGTGTCACAACATGGATAGTAATTACTGCTTAGTGATAGATTTATAAATCAGGTTCAACTTTCCTCATTTTGGAAAGGTTCGTCTTCTCAATCAGTGATGACTAATAGGAATCGAATGCAAGGTGAGTGCTAGTTAGCTTTCTCTAGTAGTTACATTTTATAATGTAATAGCTCAATATATCCAAAACAGTATTTTAGCATAGGTTCTGGTTGCATCAAGTTGCTGGGGTAAAACATTTTTGCTAACAGCACCTTGAAGGAACAAAGGGTTTATTTCATTTTACATTTCCAGGTCACAGTCCATCATGGAAGGAAGTCAGGGCAGGAACTTGACAGGAGCTCCCTCACAGATCAGGAAGTGAAGCAGAAGCCATGGAAGAATGCTGCTTGAGGCCTGCTTCCAGCTCCCTCATGGGGCTCCTGTTTAGTTCTCTTTCAGCCTAGAAATGTCACCCTCAGTGGGCTGGGTTCTCCTACATTTAGTTAATAACATGATCCCCCACAAACATGCCTACAAGCCAATTTGATTAAGGCAATTCCTCAGCGGAGGCTTTCCTCTCAGATACCTCTAGACTGTATCATCTTGACAATTAAAACTAACTAGGGCAGCATATAAGCAACATAACTTTTGTTAATGAGATATTTACAACATTTTTCAGTACTAAGCCTTTAAATTAAGGTGCACATTTTTTAAGGAAGCATGTTTTTAATTCAGAGGAGCTGGATTGTGTGTGTGTGTGTGTGTGTGTGTGTGTGTGTGTGTGTGTGTGTAGTATATGTGGGTATACAAACCCATGAGCACAGGAGGAGGCCAAAGGAAGATGTTGAATGCCCTTCTCTATCACTTTCTGCCTTAGTCTCTTAGACAGTCTCTCTCATTGAACTTGAAGCTTGCTGTTTTGTTAGGCTGGCTAGCCATTAAGCTCTAGGGATTTTCTGTGTCTGCATACCTACACTGGGGTTACTGGCATATATGTCCATATTTTGCTTTTTATAAGTGTCCTGGGCATTAAAAGTCATGTCCTCACACTTGTGCACCAAGTGTTCTCATTCACTGAGCCATCTTCTCTCCTATCCTTTTTTACCCCACCTTGGTGATGCTGTAGAAATGAATCCAGTGCATATATGTTAGGCAAGCACTCTGTGTACCAGCCCATAAGGTACATTTTAAGGGCTCAGTAACTTCAACTGTCCAATGACTTCTCTATCACAGTGTAATAGAAATTTAATGTCTTCTGTGATGAAGTTTCATTACTTCTCTTATGAGAAAAACACATGGAAATTAAGAACCAAGGAATCTGTTGGGCAGACAAAAGACAAACAAAATGACAACTGCATTGTGGATGTAGTAGGATGAGAGGTAACATTTATTTGGACAGCTGTTTAGAAGTTAGCTGATACAAAGCTGTTTTAATGAGAATATGTAAGGTAAAAAGAGTGGCAAATCTAAGAGATGGTTTCTTCAAGCCTATGGAGAAGTGATCAAGGTACTTGAGGGGCAAGGGTTGAGTATAACTAGTTTGGGGAATATGTGATACATGTTATACATGCCCAGAATTGTTGAAAGTGTGTAAAATAATGACAGGAGTGATTGATGTTTCATAAGCTCATGTGTGATGGGTGTCTAAGAACTTTGTTAGCTATGGAGGAATTTGGCCTTAATGTAAAGCCACTGTAGAGCATGAACACTGCAAGGTTTTACACACACACACACACACACACACACACACACACACAGAGGCAGAACAAAAAAGACAAACGTAGGGACAAGGAAACTAATGACCATGTTACGAAATTGTATTTGTAAAACGTTTTGGAGGTGAGAAGCATGTTAGTGGTTAATTAGGAAGTTTTTACTTAGAAGGGAATAATGAGAGTAATCCTTAAGTTTTAGGGAATCAGCAATGAAATGAGAATTGGAGTTGGCCATAGTGCCGAGGAAAAAAGTGATGTCATTCACTAAAATGCCCACACATGCAATGGAAACTTATGGAAAGTTAATGAATTTGAATTTACAGTCAGTAAAACTGGGGTGACCATTTGGCATCTAGGTGAACATAAACAGGGAAAAGCTCATACAAAGAGTCAGAAGCCTAATTTCCAGTCTACCCTCATTCCCTCACATGCCATCTATAATATCCTATTATCTTTTTCCTTTTCTTCTTTAAATTCTCCATTATCCATTCACTTTTAAATTTCCATTCATATTTAAATTTCCATTCATATACTAACGATAATAATAAATAAAATCTCTTGGAATCTTACAGTGTGGCAAGCTTTGTTTGACCACTTTGTGTGAATCTCCATATTCATTCCTGTAACAGTCATGGGAAGGTATACCAAATGAGGAAATTTGTGTTCAGAGCACTATGTAATTAGGCCAAGACCTTATCTCTACTATATGTGGCGCTCAAAATTCCTCAACTCAAACTCAAATGATCTACTTTCTGGTGACTTTCAATTTGATTTTATGCATTGGATAATTCTGTATCAATATCTTTTCTGAAATCCAGATTTATATGTCAAGGAGCTTATTGGGTATTACTATTGTCATCAAATACCCTTTTTGATCCAATAACTCCTCAGACATCTGGTCCTACATTCATATCCCTCTTACATTCATATTTGCGGGTATTGAACTTCTTACAGCCAAGCAAAAGCCCATGCTTAATGGGTTTGTTGAGAGCCAGGTTGATCCAAGGCTTTCTCTGAGAACCTAATGAAAGAACAAAGGGAACCTAGTTTTTTGTCCTTGCTCGGCAAGATCTGGTCTGGAGATTGGGCCAGAGCCTCAAAGGAGCTAAAGTTAAAGTTCCAGAGAACTGAAGAGACTGGAGTTATCAGTCCCAAGGCTGATAAGCACTCTATCTGTGACACACTGGAGATATCCCATGTCTCCTTAGTGCAACATTGCTTGATTAACTTACTGCTGACTTTGTCCTGTTGTATGATGACTTTTTGCTGACTCTGTCTCATTTTTCTCCCTGGAAAATAATACATAAGGTTCTTAATAAAATTTCTTGGCACAGGATAGAGCTTGTGCAAGACTTTCTTCTTTAAGATCCTGATACTGAAGAATAACCTGCTGGACCAGGCCAGATCTTACAGTATCTTACATGTCCAGTCTTTGACATCAACACACAAATACACAACTGCAAGGACTGTTCACTGTTTGAAAGCTTGTCCGTCCACCAAAGGAAGGTACCATACACCAAAGCTGCATGACTATCCCACATGCTGCCTGTATCCTATAGCTGAACACTGCAGTGATTCAAACTTAGCTACCTCCAACTTCAGAACTTCTCTCATAGAATGATTGGCTTAGCCACCTGTTAGAAGTGTGTTGCTCTGCGTCTTTTCCCTTTGTCTAATCCTGTTCCCTTACACTCTGACAAGTGTTTTCTTATATCCATAAATCAGATGCAAATCCTTTCCATAAATATACGTTCAAATCTTTACCTCACAGTATGCTGTGTGAGAAGCCTGTTCTAAAAGCATTAACACCAGAGTGGTCCTACGAAGCAGTTCCGGCAGGTGATTTGGAGCTGTGGCATCCCTTGGCTGCCACAGAACTTGGGTACAGGTGGTAAGTGAGATTTTGATGGCCTGTGGGTGTACTGCCACATGGCCCAAATTTCCTCTCCCATCAGTAGCACAGAGACTGTACTAACAGTTGGGAGGTTGTAGAAGTGTAGATGGTATGAAGATCATGGGCTCAGATTACTTTGGCTTTGTGCTGTTAAGGCCTTTGAGAAAAATAATGAGGGAGTGAGATTAATTAAACTAGCATTCAGGACAAGCTTTGAGACCCAAAGAGCTTGTGGGTAGAGAAGCACTGGACTAAACCTAGATCACATTTTTAAGTGTAGCAGTTTCATAGAAGACGGATTAGCAAATCCTGACAAATATGTTTCACTAAGATCTGGCTTTAGCTGGGAAAGCATGAAGTTCTGATGCCAGCAGTACTTCATCTAGGTCGATGCATTTGAAAAGAAACATTTTTTGAGGCAGTATCCCACATTAGCGCAGGTTATCTTGGAACTTACTATGTAGTTCAAGCTTGCCTTTCTGATGTGCACTGAGTCATAGGCATTATGCTGTAATACTTGAAAATCTTGAGCCCCCGATTTCCTCTGAGTCACAGAAGGTTCTGTGCCTTCTTGGTGAAAGCTATCATTTCCCCTTGGATTATAATCTTCTCATATGATGTGGACCCTCTCTCCTTTCATTTTCTCCACCCACCTCTGATTTCCACTTTCCTCCTGACCACCAGACCAACAACAAAGATCATGTTGTTACAGTGCAACTAGTAGGGGAGAAAAGGGACTACATGTCTCACACCTGCAGGACCTGGACAGCATGTGCTAGTAGAGTATAAAAGGCAGAGGGAGTTAAAACAGAAATCCGGATGAAAGAGAATTTATTAATATGGAAGCACTTTCCATTGGTACAGGGCTTAATACCTTGTAAAGAGCATGGTAAAACATTCAAAGGTTCAGCTAGAATAGGTCTTAGAAGTTTAGGAAAAGCTACAGGTCATATCAAATAGTAAAAAGTCCAAAATCATGACTCATTATGAAAAACGACTGGCTCAAAAAGTTCACAGAAATACTTGTACTGGAAAAGACAAACTGTGTCAAGTAGAGTGCTTACCTCTTAACCATGTTTCACTTAAGGATCCACAGGGATCCATTTACCAGCTGATAAAGAAGCTACTGATGGGAGAGGGAAGGACATCCCAGAGGAAGTAAGTGGTGGCTGTCCTCTGTAGACCAGGTACAGCAGGGAGATGCTCTCACAGAACTGAGAACACCAATAGAAATTAAGAAGATGCCAGAGCAATGAGTACCCAGCAGTAGTTTATTACTATTGGATGCAATATGGTCACAATTACAAGTGGTCTGATGGTTTGGATGAGAAACACTCCCCATATGCTTATGAACTGCAATGCTTGGTCATGAACTGGCTATGTTTGGTATGGTTGCAGAACCTTTAGGAGGTAGAACCCTGCTGGAAGAAGTAAACTACTGGAGCCAGGCTTTGAGGTTTTATAACCTGGCTTCATGTACTATTCTCTTTCTGCTTCCTGTATGTAAATCTCTGCTTCCTGTATACAGACCTCTGTTTCCTAAATGAAGACCTCTGCTTCCCATATGCAGACCTCTGCTTCCTCTATGAAGACCTCTGCTTCCTGTATACAGACCTCTGCTTCCTATATGAAGACCTCTGCTTCCTGTATACAGACCTTTACTTCCTACATGCATATCTCTGCTTTCTGTATACCCTCCTCTGCTTCCTATACACAGATATTTATCCTGTAAGCAGATCTCTTTTTCTTGACTGTGGCTAGCCTCCCTTTCCTGCTGCCATGCCTTTTCTCACATGATGGATGCTATCCTCTATGAAACTGTAAACTAAATAAACACTTGTCTCCTCTAAGTTGCTTTTGGTCATGGTTATTATCACAGCTATAGGAAAGTAACTAATACAGTGACCAATCTGAGTTATAGCCAGAAAGGCTTGGCCCACACTGGTCCATATGGAGATGAATAAGAGGGAACCTGTAGGCAACCATCAAAGATACGCTTGATCAATCCATTCAAATCAGTTAAAGACAGATAGTCAGAATTTTGAAAGTTGTACCTTGAAGTAAAAATCCCTTCCCCAGTTTAAGAAAACTGAGTCAGTAAAATTTTAGGTTTTGCTGCTTGATAGCTAAGTTAGGTATCCAAGAAAAAGAAACTTATAACCTCATATTTAGTGTTTGTTAAGTATAGGCACTTGGTTCTTCCTCAAGTGATTTTACTTGGATAAGAGAGAATATGCAATTACTTGGACTAATGTTCAAAAAGTCTACATTGACAATGATTTCTGGAGACATGCAGTGGGCATCTATGAAATCCAGTTAATAACTAGAGATCTGAACACTACCTTTCCCAGTGGGATTAAGTTCTTGGAGTCAGTAGGTAGCCCTTTACTAGTCATCAAATATAAAATCGGAGTGAGTCTATTTGGCACTTGCTCATTGGCCATTGAACCATCAATTGCTTCTTCCAACTGAATGAGACTGCTCTCAATCCCTTAGAAAAACCTGATGGATCCACTGGGGTTTTCACTGAGTTGTTCATTTCTATCACCAATATAGTTTCTAGAACAAGTGGGTAAATCATTGCAGATGATAGTGCTTTGCCCAAAACAATGAAGCAATGGAACTATTTCTAACTGCCATGCTATTCTAAAGCTGTTAGAGCTGATTAATAGCCCCATTTTCATTCATCTTGAAACTCAGATATTCCTTCATCCTTTTCAGGAAGATGTACCAGTATCAGAATGTGTTCATTTGGAATGAACATAGTGCCACATGTTCTTGCCTTGAATGGTTTTTTCTTTCCTGCCCTTTGTCACACTATAGTACCAAAGAGCATGGATGCTTGTTTGGATTTTTTTCTTTTTGTGTATTGGGTAAGTGAAACTAGGATCTCACAGAAGACAGGCAGTACTCTATTCCTGAGGTACCTCTCCAACCTCAATCTCTTTCTTGTTTTTCTTCTGAAGAACATAATTGTGATGCTCAATAAGGAAGAAATGAGAAGTACTTTACGAGCCTTGATAAAATATACATACTTCAAAAAATGGAAGATAAATGTCATAATCATCCAGGCTGTGACATGTAGTTTTAAGGGAGATAGTTATTTTGGGCATGTCGGGATACTCTTTCTGAAAAGAATATTGCATTTCACATTTTCCACTTTTAAGGCCTCTGTGGTTTCTGAGGACAGCATATTTCATGCTTGGCACAGGCTGCAACCCATGCCCCAAGCAACAGAGAAGATGACTAACTTTAATTAAAACTCAGAATAAGAAAAGGTTCTGCAGTATGTCTGGAGCATATGGTCTTGAAGAACTAATGTTATGTATGATGTGAAAAGATGTTTGAAGGTTTTGGAAAACCCCAATAGGCAAATTACACCATGAACTCTTATAATTCTCAAGTAAGGCAGAATCATCTATAGAGGAGAGCTAGAGACTAACATATTATTGGTTGAGTATTCTGACTGTGTTACTGGGACTTGACAGAGAAAAATATCACTATCAATCGACTATGCATTAAAAAATTGTTCATCAAGTTATATGATTGGGTGAACCAATAGCAATTCATCATGAAATGGAAGGGCTATATGTGAACTTGAGGATAAATAGAGCAGGAAGGCACACATGGATGGCAATTGCCACAGACATCTATGATAGCTATGATGTTACATGGCCCATCTCCCTCAGCTCATTGTTAGGGCCACATAAGGAACTTTATTATCAGATAACAAAAGAGAATGAGGACAAGATTGTTCATACATAGGTTGTCTCTATACACGGTTGAAAGCTGAGAAAACACTGCTACGACTCTCTAGTCCCATATACTCCAAATGAATAGTGTCAGGAGACCACAGCTGTTTCTTCTTTTTGCAAAATAAAAAGGAAATGTTGGAGGTAAGGATAAAAAGGAAATACAGGAAGTTTCCTACAGTTCAGATAGGGTTTAAATGACTTTGTAGCTCATGATAATTCCCACTAGAGATTGTTCATCATGGAAGAGGCATTAAACAGCTAAGTAGACAAAATGACTCAGCCAGCTGATGTCACCCAGCTTCTGTCATCGATCACCACAGTGTTGGCATAATGGATACATTATATTACATTCTTGCCAAAGATGACTAAATGTCATTGGTCTCTACTAACCAGCTATTGATGCTACCTACATTTAAATGGGTTCAGTCTCCCCTAACCCCAAGCACTTGTCACTGTCCCACATAACAGTCCCCTTTACATATACTTGGTAGACACACAGATTTTTGCATCTGACAACAACACAAATAATTGGAATCTTGTATACAGTTTCATCCTTCAAGGTCACCAAACAGCCAGATAGGGGCAAGCCGATTATTTTGGAACCTATTTATCCTGGGAATGGTAGTGATTCACCTTGGCT